GCATTGTGCTTTCGGCATCGTGCTCACGATCGACGCCTGCGTACTACATCAGGTTTGCCTAACCCCGCTCCAAGGGATGCACGGCGTGGAGAGTCAAGTCTGAGTCCTCGTGGCCTCGTAATCAACGAACAAGACCAACTACTCCCTCCGAGCCTCGGCTATCCGCTTCGGGCTCCTCAGCCTCTCGGACTCACGCCCGTCGAGGCCCCACGACGGCCCACCCTCAGATCGACCGGGCCTCGACTCTCTCGTCGTCGGCAAGACTGGGGGCAAGACGTCGCCCGCAGAACGCGCCGCACACTTCGCGTCAGTCAGTCGCAGGAGCCCCCACGTCGCGCACAAGGCCTAGCTCCTGTAGCCTCGGAATCAGCATACCCGCGCTATCACATCAACCCGGCCTCGGCACTCCGCGCTGGTCAAACATACAGTAACCAGCTCGCCTCCAACAGAAGAAGGCACGCCTGCCACCACAGGAGCTCCCACGTCGCACAGGATCGGGCGTGACCAGCGCGTTGCTCCAGTGCACCGAGGACAAGACCGCTCCGTCGACCATGCCGCCACAGCGACAAGCACAGGGCTCGGACATACCGCCTCCACCCACAAAAACGCCACGTAGCGAACGCATGTATCGCCCCTGTCCACCCCTTCAACTATAAAAGGGAGTGACCGGGGCCGTTCCTGGGAGAGACACTCACGGAGACATCGCTCAAATAGACACACGTGCAAGCAACGAGCAACACTCTGTAACACGCACGCTCTCTCACTGCAAGAGATCAACATCTCAAGCAACCCACGCCGCTCCACGCAGAGACCTGGGAGTAACTCCCTCTCTCGCCCTGCTTGTGAACCCCTACTACAAGCACCTCGGTGCAAGGAATACAAGATCGCTCTCTCAGACTAGACGTAGGGCACCTATTGCCTGAACCAGTATAAACCTTGTGTCTCTTTGCATCACCATCCGGGATAGGGACACGCAGTACATTTTCACTCGTTGGTTGAGGACCCGCCGGTCCAAAACACCGACACCAATCGTATCCTATCCGATATGGCTAACACTATCCGTATTCGGATCCGAATCCGAACAGAAATATGAACACAAATATATGCGTATCCGACCCGTTTTCATCCCTAGTCCGATCACACGATCGAGAGCAAGGCCCAACTCAAAAACTAAGGTAGTTTCTATAGCTATTTTGTACGTACTGCAATGCAACCTACGCTAGGTGTCGTGACCGTGTGTACTAGTATCACTGTATCACATAATTAAACTGGGCGGCGATTACTGTTAGTCAAACACAGTACGCTGCCAGATCGTCACGTTGGATGACAATGACATGCATGGATCGGAGGCCTGCAGTCGCAACAGTTAATATGACTGCTGAGATCCGATCCACCCCATATGATGTATCGATGGACGATGGCCTCCTTCTCTTTTCGAGCTGAGATCACTACCAGCTTATCACTAGTTGTAGCTGCAGTACCTCTCTTCTTTAATTTCCAGAAGCCTCCAATACAGTAGGAGGTAGTAATATGACTCCAGCCTCAGGTAGCGTCTGTACGTCGTCGACTCCAAGTTATTTACTTGTTGCGTTGCATATATAATATACGTATGTACCACCGTCACCGTGGTAGTATATGTCACGAGACACGCGACACCACCGTGACCGTGAAAGCAACGCTGTCGATCATCAGCTAATTAACGATGGAGCGATGATCATCATTGGATACTACACAAGCAGGGCACACACCTGGTCGGAATAGCTTCCACGTGACTTGACTATCAAATTAAAGGTGTGCTTGATGTTGATGGATCACAGGAGTAATATATATATACTGACAGCTGGACCGTAAAAAATATCAGCTTTGCTTGCGCGCAGTGGCTACCACTACTTTTGGTAGAGTTCAAGTGATAAGTCATGAGAAAGGCAAACCTGATAAGGTCATGGCTAACACAATTGTGATCACCTAGCGCCCTTATTAGATAGAACATGAACATCTTCTTGATGATCACATCACTCGATCAGGTACGTATTTATTAGTCTCGCAAACTGAATTGCTGAATCTTTTTTTCTTTTCTGAACCTTCTAATAAACCTTCTAAACCACGCATACACGCAGGATGCATGGTTCAGGATGTATGAGTATCTGGACTGGAGAGGCCGTATTTAGGGTGTGTATGAGTATCTTTTTTTTCCTGAACCTTCTAACCACCATTTACCCCCCATTATCACCACAATTAGGTCATATTTAGCTTATTTAACATGCGAAAAGAGAGGCTAGTAGCATAGGCATGCCCCAGGATGCAAACAAGCCCTTCATTTCCCCTCTTGAATTAATTACATGTCATTGTTTTTTTTTAAAAAAGAATTAATTACTTGTCATGCCATTCCAATCCATTTTTAGCGAAATTTGGTTGACCCAATGGCTCAAAACATACATGTCAAAACTAGTAATACATGTTTTGGCAAAAATATATGTCAACAATTAAATTCATAGGTTTGATTACCATTTCCGGTTTGAATATATTATATTTAAAACTGAATAAATTTATGAACACTTTTGCTATATCGTGCCTGGTGAAACTTACCCTCCTACGTCTGAAAATTTTGGACACGTGCGGCAATCTCTGAATTTTTTTGTCTTTTGGCCCCTTTTTGAAAGATTTTCACAAATACGTCATGGTGGTATCCTTTTAAAAAATAGACCCTGACCTTGGCGCCGAGCTTACATGTCTCGGCGCCAATTGCTTTGGCACCGAGGTCCAGGATCATTTTCTGCGTGTCGTTGACGTGGCTGCTTGCATGGCGCGGACGTGGCATGAGCTCGGCGCCGTAGATCTTGGCCCTGAGCTCGGCGCCAATTACTACGGGCCGAGCTCGGCGCCAAATGCCATGGCGCCAAGCTATGAAAATCGATAAATTTGAATTTTTACCATGACTTGGATATTGAGAAATGGGGCTAACTCTAGAGTTTTTACAGTGACTTGCTGTTTGATCACTTAAAACAATCTAGAAATATTTAAGATAAAAATTTACCTGATCAAATGGAACTACAGCACGTCCGTGCAACATAGTGCAGAGCTCGGCTCCTACAACACGGCCGGGCGATGCAGGGTTCGGCTCCATGCGTCAGTTGCATTGCTAACCGGAGTAATAGTACATACTACGTGCATGCATCGGTGCATGCAACGAACGGTACGTGCATGTGCAGGCATGCAAGCACGGACACAACACACCTCATCTGTAAGCACGTGGAAATATGACTAAGTATAGAATTTATGACTGTGGCTAAGTATGGTTTTTTTACCGTGGTTAAATCTAAACTTGACGAGACTTATTTTGTTGTCATCTCCTCATAGAGTATTCAAACTCGTAATACGGTATCAAATTGGGTTAATATACAAATTTGGAAGATAAAATGTCGCAAACATATCAATTCACTGCTGGCGATCAGGGAATTAGAAAGATTTGGAGGGGCCAAAACAGCACTGTATTTAAACTTGTGGTTGCTATTCGGCCATATTAAAGACTGATTTAGGTTTATGTTCAAAAGTTTGTTGTACTCAACTCAAACTACAACTTCTATTAAAGATCAAACTTCATATCTAGAAAAAAACTATAGTTTTACCCTGGTCAAAACAGCGTCATGAAAAAAGGAGTTAACTATTGATCCAACACTTAGAAGCATTTTAGGCTAGTTCATCAACATAAAGCCTATATCATTTTTTATCTTAAGTATTTATAAACTATTTTAAGTGATCATACAGCAAGTCACTGTAAAAACTCTAGAGTTAGCCACATTTCTCAATATCCAAGTCATGGTAAAAATTCAAATTTGTCAATTTCCATAGCTCGGCGCCAAGGTCTACGGTGCCAAGCTCATGCCACATCTGTGCCACGCAGGCAGCCACGTCAACGACACGCAGAAATGACCCTAGACCTCGGCGCCGAGACATGCAACCTCGGCGCCAATTGTTACGGCGCCGAACCCGAGGTCTATATTTTGAAAGGATACCTACAGGAGCGTATTTGTGAATATCTTTCAAAAAAGGGCTAAAAAACAAAAATGTCGGCGGCAATCTCTAGTGCTGTTGTCTGATGGTTGTAAAAAAGCTTTAGGCCTTGTTTGGATGTAGTCGGATTCATATCAATTCACATGTATTGAGGTGGATTGGAGTGGAATTTGAACTAAATTCCACCCCAATGCATGTGTATTGAGATGAATCCGACAACATGTAAATGAGACCTTAATTATTTTTGTTGATGATATTTCCCTATATGTCTCCGATACCATATTGGAGGTAAGGTGTATCGGGGTATCGGAGTATCCAATACGTATAGCGATACCGACCTGTACGCAACCTGGTGATGAAGAAGTATCTGGGCATCTATGTTAGCATATTCCTCCCGCAACACCGTAGCTGGCGTCATCACATACGTGAGATTAAAACCTAACCCCAGGTCGAAATAAAGCAGATACTTGGCACAAAGATAGCTTCATGTTCATGTTACTCGTGTGCCACCAATCATGATGATGTAACGGATACGACCGTAGTAATGATAAGCTGATAACTGATAAGCACGCGCCGCACCTCAACCACAAGTTGTGCCCGTATCAAATCCTGGCTCCGTTCGTCTATCCTTAAACCTGGCTCGATTCGCTTTTTTTTTATTCGGAATAGTGTTTTTCTCTCACAAAAATTCCTTCAATATTCCTCCAAACCATTTAGATTCCTCCAGAATTCAGACAAGCGAACAGGACCCTGTGTTTAGTTAGAGGCGTCCAAGATTGACTCGGTACCTGGTTTTCTGCAACAATCTCGTCCTCAATACTAATCGTGATCACGAGGTCAAGAAGGTCACTTTCTTCTCTAAGCTCTCTCTGCCTCTCTATAAATAGGTGCCATGGTGTAGTAGCCTAGCTAGTACGACTCTTCCATAAAAAACGAAGCACAACACACGTCAAGAAAGCAAACTGCTAGAATAGTCACTCAGTCAGTCCATGGCACCAAATGGAGAATCACCGGCCATGACCGCCGTGGCGCCGCTCTTGGCGACGATCATCTGCAGCTTCGGCAGCGGCGAGCACAGGCGGCAGCAGAGGGTCCCGTCGTGCCACGAGCTCCGCAGCTGCGTCGCGGGCGGCGACCACGACAAGGAACTGGAGCTGATGCTCAACCCCGACGACGACGCCAGCGCCCACGATGACCCGCGGGACGCCGGCGCCACGGCGCGCTCGGCCTCGGCGGCGGCGGAGGTGGAGGACGCGGAGTGCGAGTGCTGCGGCATGTCGGAGGAGTGCACCCCGTCGTACATCGCCGCGGTGCGCCGCCGCTTCTCGGGCCGCTGGGTGTGCGGCCTGTGCGCCGAGGCCGTGGCCGAGGAGGCCGCCAAGAACGGTGGCGACCGCGGCGCCGCGCTGGCGGCGCACATGGCCGTGTGCCGCCGGTTCAACGGCTTCGGGAGGACTCATCCCGCGCTGTTCCAGGCCGACGCCGTCATTGACATCGTGAGGAAGCTCTCGGCGGGGTCGGGCCCAAGGTCGCCGACGAAGTCTAGCGCTGCTGCTGGCACGAGGGTCGTCATCGGTGAAGGTGCCAAGACCGCCGCCGTCGACGGCATGGCGCTCATTGCCGGCGTACGCAACGATCAGGTGGTCACCAACTAGATCGCTGGCTAAAGTGTGTACAGCCAGACAGTAAGCCGTTTGCGACTTCAGGGTGTACGTAACGTAGGTACACCTTGTGTATAGATTGATTTGTTTCCAGGTTCAGTGCCTGTTGGAGTTTACAACTTTTTGGATGGGCTTTTGTTTCCTTCTTCAGCTCTTTTAGCTGAGAGCTGAGCTGGGAGTGTAAAAAGCTCCATCTTCCCATCCCAAGCTAATTTCATGTCTTCATCCACACATGCTTTACATACCATGCCTTCATGGTGCTTCGTCGTAACACCCTCATGTGTATTTCTATGTGGCTTGCAGTCAGATGACGTCAAGCATCTCCAGTAAAAATGATCTAAATAAATGTTAAAATTTTGGAGATCTTTTCATGACAGCTGTTTTGATTTTCCAAAAAACGACAGTTGGAGATGCCGCGAGATTGAATGTTCCAACATCAACTACAATTCAATCTTCGCAACATTTCAAGAAAAACACTTTAACGTACTGAAACAACGTTTGCAACAAAATATCACATTTTCTCGAGATGCCACCCAGAAATTTGTTCTCAACTTTCAACTGATGCCCATATCTCCACATAGATGGTGGCGGCGTGCAAGATCACTTGCAAGAAAAATGACTGTTCTCTAAAACCTCGACCTCACATGGAATTCAAAAGAATAGCCGTTACCAGGAATGTATTACGGTAATAGGTCAAACATGCACCACTGGCACGTAGCAAAAAATAAGTGCCCCTAAATAAATAAGGTAACCATTTAACAAGTATGATTATTATGACAACCAAGTCTTCCAACTATCTGCTGCTGATGTCGCTGCCATGTGGAGCAGTTTCTTTCATTATCGAGGGACACTGAGACCTGTCTCTGCAAGATATTATCAAGGAAAACATGAGTTTTTGGTTGTACTGCAGTAAAATTATCTAACATACCCATGCACACACAAGGTACAATAAAGGATAACACAAGCAATGAAGTTGCTAATATAAGTGAAGCTACCATAGAACGAGTTCATATAAGGCCTTGTTTGGATGCATGTGTATTCACTTCAATCCACATGTGTTGGAGTGGAATTGAATGTAATTTAGTTTAATCCCACTCCAATCCACTTCAACACGTGTGGATTGAGAAGAATACATGCGCATCCAAACAAGGCCTAAGAGTGCAAGTTCAGACTTCAGAAACCAAGAACCAAATGTCCTTGTCACTGTAACTCTTTTCCCCAGGGAGTGGCTTGGGTAATGCAAAACCAGATCGCATGAACTTCAGTTCAGCAATAGAGTTCAAGTGGAGCATTTTGGCAACATCACATTAGTATTGGGGCTTATGCGCAATGAAAGTGCCAGAGGAGGATTTAACATGATTGACATATTCATAACGGTGCAGAGGGCACAAATGACAGGAGCACATTGATTTTTCCTTAATTATAAAGACAAGAAAAATCAAATTTTGAGACGTATGTTGAAAATCAGAACCAAAAGAAATGGGTCGAATAAAAGGATCTTCTCAGTACAGTTAGATCTGAAATCAAAACTGAAATGGACATAGCAAAAGTAAATGCGACAGTTGATATGTGTAAGGAAGGACATAGCTTAAATATACTACATACAGGTAGAACTTAAGCAGCCACCAATTTGACTTGACAAATTGGCAGGAATTATCATGCAGTTACGACTGATTTACAATTACATTATGCTAGCAATGTAATTTTCCATGTTGTATATACCTGTACTACTTAATTTCCACTATTTTGTGTTTTATTATGGGTCAACGACCACTTTGATCCAAGTCTGGGAAATATGGCCACTTTGGTCCTTAAATGAGCTGACCATGAAGCAATTCTTGGCAAGAAAACCTGTTAAGTGACATGTTTTGTCATGAAGACAACTGAGTGATGACTCCAGACCCACCCACTCACATCGAAGTGCTGGTCAGGCAAGAATCTCATTCTTGGCAGGCTATGCTTCCTAACATCTACATTATCGAGCTCTTGAAATCAACACACCTCGCCTGACCTTGGGACCAATGTGCAAGAAATTTGAACCCATTCAAATCAAATAGAATGAAATATAATTTTCAGCACAAAAAAACTGACAACATGAAAAACGACAAACCATATGTATAAAACATAATAAATGCTCAAGAAATTTGACTGCGACACTGGGGAAACCAGTGGGAAGCAGATGATGTTGCTCCAGTCTCTAGATAGCTTAAAGAGTAGGGCACAAAGGAAGTGATCTCTTCCTGTAAAGGGTGGAAAAAAACTCGGCCGGTGGGGGTAAAGCCACGTCCACGACATTAGCGTTAGAAGAAATTCTCTGCCTGAATGATTCGAGGGTAAAGACAGGAAAGGCCAGCGCCTGGTGGACTGAATCAATGGGCAAATAGCATAATGGCATAATAAAATAGTCTGGGTAAAGTCCACTTTTAAACCTTCAAGTTGCATGGCAGTCCAATTTTCAACCCTGAACTATGAAACCCCCTCCAACTATCGAAACCTGACAAGTTTGGTCCTCTGGCTGGTTTTCTATTTTGTAAAAATAATAAGAATCTGGTTTAACCTCCAAAAAGTCATAAGTAATTTAGTTTAAATCAGAAAAATATGAAACTAGCACCAATTTTCTTCAAAACATGTTATCTATATGTTGGTGCTCTATTTGGAATGGATCTTATTTGTTTTAAATAAATAATGAGCATGAGTGCACAACTACAAGCAATAAAGCATTGCAACATAAATAAATATGCCAAATAACTCTTAATAGATCTCAAACAGGCACATACCATTTTAACAAAATTGGCACGGGTTTCATATTTTTCTACTTTAAAATAAATTAGTTATGAATTTTAAGACACTAAACCAGATTTTTATTATTTTTACAAAATAGAAAACCACATTTGAAACTAGCAAGAGGGACAAATTTGTCCGGTTTTGGCAGTTGGAGGGTGTCTGGTACTCTGTTTCGTAGTTCAAGGCTGAAAATCAAACTACAGTGCAAGTTGGAGGTTGAAAAATAGAGTTTTATCCAAATAATAATGCATCGGCTGAATCAACAAAGACTCGTCACGCTGATTAAGCATGCTGAGCAGTATGATAATCCATATGATGTCATATTTGGCCAAACTTAAAACTTTGGTAACCAAAAGTGGATTGTCTAGAACTAAAAATGAACCAAAGGCGAAGGTCAACTAGTCAAGAGACCAAATAGGTATTTGACCCTGTATCTACTTACATTGTCAAAATGGGAGGAGAAAAGGAGATGAGACCTAAAGGACAAAGTTGATAATCTCAATTGCTGAGGAATATAAAGGATACAATTGACAATCACAAAAAAACTAAATGTATTGTCAACTTACTGTATCCAAAGTCAAATAGGTTAATATCCTAGATTAAGAATGAATCGATGACATCCAGAAGCTATTGACACCCATTTTAGCTTGCATGGGCTGTCTCAGGTATAGCATGCACCAATTTCTAACATATTAATGAACAAAAAAGTGTTTATGTTGTAACATCCTGACCATAGTCACCACGTTTCTGGGTCAAGGAAAGGGGGTCCATGGGACGCGGTGCACCACTTGAGAAAGGTGTTGCCAAGTTCCGGACGACATTGTTCCAACGGGAATGATGTTCTGACAATCTGACTTCTGTCATTCCTGGGACGAGGAACGTGGCACTATGTCTATACCATGTTCCCCGTGATACCGATCCTGATAAAAGTTTATCAAGCTTGTTCCCATAACTTGAAAAGTTCTATTAATCATCCCACATTATAACTCTATCACGGACATATATGACAGTAGAGCAATGAGTGAATGAAACTACAGAAGTAGCCAGTGACTAATGTCAAACTTTCACTCTCCACTCCTACCTAGAGATTAATATTCATTGCATCGATCCAAGTGAAACGGATCTCAACAAGTGAACCAAAATCATCCTAAATCAAGACAGACAACACATGATCAATAATAGACAAGCAAGCAAGCAATCGAGCAGCCACAACTCACTGTAGCGTTGCAAAGATTAGTAGACTGTATCAGACTCAGACTCCCGGGTAGGAGCTGCAGAGCGTACCCTGCGACACGGCCCGGGCCACCTCCGCCCCCAGCCGCGACGTCAGCCGGGCCGCCGAGACCGCGCTGTGCAGCGGTTGCAGCGACCGCGCCAGAGCCATCCGCCGCCCTAAGGCCGAAGCCCTGCGCCACATGAAAACCCAGATAAACAACGCCTAATCGGGAAACATCCTCACAGGCCGTGAACAAAAATGGAAGGACCCCTTACCTGGGGACAGGAGCGAGGGTGCGGGGTAGGGAAGCGGCGGGGCTCCGGCTGGCAGCGGAGCGGAGGAAGGCCGCGGCGGCGGGGCGGGTGAAGGAGCGGAGGCGCGACGCCATGGCTTACCGGGGACAGGGAGGTGACGAGCTCGCGGCGGAGGGGCGGCGAGGTCGTGTGGGTTTTTAGGGTTTTGGACCTTGCCATTGGAGAAAAAGACACAGATGGGCCTTAATGGTAGTACTGTCAGCCCATATAATTGGCCCACATACTATTCAGGCCCGGCCTACTAAAATCACCTCTCTTCTTTCCCCAGACGAAACCAATTGCGTTTTCTTCTCCTGCCTTTCGCTCCCCCGTTCTTCGAGCGCAGAACATTGTCGAGACCTGAAATCCTGAATCCACCTTCACCCAGCGGTCCCCATGGCCTCCGGCGAAGGTGTAGTTGGTCAGCTGTCCGGGGCGGCTAGCGGCGAGGCGGAGGCCAAGATGGAAACGGAGGAGGAGCGGGAGGGGCCGGTGCTGTACCTCGACCTTACGAGCTACCAGCTGCACGATCTGAGCGAGGTGGAGATCCCGCCCACGCTGGAGGAGATCGACCTCACCGCCAACCGCCTCTCTTCCGTCGACCCACGCATCGGCCAACTCCCCCGTCTCCGCAAGCTCTCCTACCGCCAGAACCTCCTGGAAGACGACGCCATCGTGCCGCTCTCGTCCTGGGAGACTATCGCCGGATTGCAGGTGATTACTGACTCGGAATCTGTAGTGGAGAGTCGTTGTTTTATCGCTCCGATCGTGATGCCCAATTTTGGTCACTAGATGCTCGTGTTAAATCATCCCTGCAGTTTCTTTGATTATAAATCATCTTACTTACCAACCTGTGTTATTCAGGAACGCATATTTTACATAATAATACTTGGTAGCGTGGTCAATAATTATTTGTCTATTATTAATTCTTCTTTGCTGTAAATGGGTGAAAACTAAATGCAACTAATTTGCATTTTTTACGTAGAAAGCCTAGCAACATTTATCAGTGGAAAACGAGAGGGTTTGTTTATGATCATCTTGTGGTGAAACATAGAATTTCATGAAACTTGAAATTTAGTGCTCTTGTAATCTTGTTCTCTTCACTGAGATATCAAGTCAGGTAATTGGTATTATTAGGCAATATATTGTGATATGCAGTACGACCCTTGGCTCAGTTACTGTGAGAACAAGCAGTTGTAATATTGTTTATGTATCACATTACATTTATTCCTACAATACAAGTAAACCTACTGAGGAGACTAAATTTTTGTCTAATACACTTCACGAAAATCGACAGCTGTGTGCACAACTATCTGGAGTATTTCTTATGATTATTTGCTGGACCTCATAATAGCTGGGGGCATTGTAATTTGTTACAGTCCTGATACTTTCACAACATATCCCAAGTGCCCAATTCATTTACTTTTAGAAGCTTTTATGGAGAGATGGATTAAGTGAGTCTTCACTTTGAAGTTTTAACTGAGGGATTGTCAAGATCAGACAGAGTTGAGTCACCATTTTTTCCTTCAGTGAGCTGGAGGCCACTGTAGTATCGAGTATATTAAGTATAGGCTATCGGTACCTTCTTTTATTTTGCATAAGCCCTGCTTTTACTGAAAGAATAGAGAGTGGCTGCTGGGAAAACCAGCTTACAATCTAGCACATCCAACACAAGCTACTCATCCAAACAATCAACCACAAATGCTAAACTCTCCTCTCTTAAACTGCACCCCTCCATAGTCTAACAAAATACCCCAGCACCCAAAAGGAAACCAGCCACAAAAGTGCTCCCTAGAAAAGAGAAATTACAATTGAGGCCTTCCTGAGCCAAACACAACTAGCACAGCAAAACACTAAAAGACTGATCTTCAACTTCCTAATTCGTCCATCAGATAGGATATCCACATCTTCACAGCATCCCTGTCTTCAGCATCTTGACAGGCCTTCCTTGAGCTTCTCCAGAATTCCTTCCATGAGTTTCAGCTGCGCCCCCTTCATCAGGATCTTCCAGTGCTGAAGAAAACCAAAGACTTTATAACTAATTTCTTTCGGGCTCTTAATAATATGATTTGAGAAAACTAAATCATTCCGAGTTCTCCACAGCGACTAAGAGTTGGTCGCCATGATCTGATGATAATCACCATGCTCCACTTATTACTACTACCCGGAGTTGTTGTGAATTTACTCTCAAAATCCCCTCTATCTACCGGGATTGAGTCCCACCCTAGGCTATCTCTAATCCAACACCAAACAAAAATGGCCAGGCGGCATCTGAAAAGAAGGTGATCAATAGTCTCATTCTTTCCACATAAGCTGCAATCTTTAGCCTCTTTACAATTTCTTTTTTTGAGTTGTTCAGTGGTCTGTACTCGTTCATGAGCTACCATCCAAAGGAAAATTTTAATCTTCAACGGTAACTTGGTTTCCCAAATGTCCTTCAATTCTCAAGTCAACTATTCCTGGAAAAGTGACCATCTTATAAACTGATTTAGTAGTCAAATTACCAGACTTCTCAAGCATCCACACAACTGTATCTGTCCTCTCAGTCAGACTAATCCCCTCTAACATAGTCATCATCTGTTCCCATTCTTCCACCTCCTTATTCCCTAAATTTCTTCTTAGAGACAAATTTCACTCTCTGTGTGCTAAATTTGCAAGTGACCCTCCCTGGTCCAGGGAATCCTGTACAGGTTTGGATATAGAGTCATTAGAGACCTTCCTCAATGCACACATCTTCCCAAAATCTTGTCCGTTGCCCACACTCAACTATCATCCCTTTGCCTCTCTCATACCAAGGTTTAACTGCATGAAGACCTTGCCAAAATTGAGATCCACCTATGCTGTGTGATTGACTAAAATTCTTGCCGTGAATATACTTGGCTCTGAGTAGCCTCATACACATACTGTCATCTGCACTGTCTAGCCTGAAAATCCATTTGCATAAAAGAGCTGCATTCATGACCCTAGTGTCAATGAAGCCTAAACCCCCAAATTCTTTGGGTTTAGCCAGAGCCCCCCACTTAACCATGTGATACTTCTTTTGTTTCCCATGCCCTCCCAAAAGAACCTTCCTCTATCTGAATCAAACCTCTCCTTTAACCAGTAGAAACCCATTGTATACATAGGAATGCTTGACAGGCTGGTGTTAATCAAAATAGATATGCCCCCGTAGGAAAAATGCTCACACTTCTAAGATTTTATGCATGAACATCTTTGCATCTGCCACAGTATTAGTGATGTTTGAACTTTTCATTTGTTCTGGCAAATTAATTTGATTTACCTTAGAAACAAAGATGCTTTCTTTAAAAACTTTTTTACAATGCTATTTAACTGTCTCCCTTTCATATTTCAGGAGTTGGTCCTTAGAGATAACAAACTTACAAGGATTCCTGATGCTGGCATATTCAAGGGTCTTCTGGTGTTCGATGTATCTTTCAATGAGATAACTTCCTTGACTGGTCTGTCCAAGGTTTCCGGCAAATTGAAGGAACTTTATGTTTCAAAAAATGAAGTTGCAAAGATGGAAGAGCTTGAGCATTTCCATGCACTGGAAATTCTTGAACTTGGTAGCAACAGATTACGGGTAAGAATTTCAGAGTAAATTGCATATGACTCCTGGTGACTGCATGTTGTCTGGATGGTCAGTGAATAGAGCCATATGTAATGCTTCATGCTGTATGTAATTTGTTTATATCTAGATACTGTTATTTCCTACAGCCTTACGATGTTTTATCTCGTTTCAGGTAATGGAAAATCTTGAAACCTTGACAAATCTGCAAGAACTGTGGTTGGGAAGAAATCGAATTCGAGCTGTCAACTTGTGTGGTTTGAAGCTAATTAAGAAAATAAGTTTGCAAAGCAACAGATTGACTTCAATGGATGGGCTTCAGGTACTCTATCATAACTTCCCTGTTCGCCTGTTGTAGTTGCTGCATGGTAATATATCTGTTTTGCAACTCAGGAATGTACTGCGTTAGAGGAGCTGTACCTCAGCCATAATGGAATTCAAAAGATGGAAGGCCTCTCTACCTTGCAGAACCTCCGCATTTTGGATGTTTCATCTAACAAGCTAACCACTATAGAAAATATCGAAACCTTAACCAGGTAAATGATACCATGTGTCTTATAGCCTTTTCTTCTCAGAGTAACAAAATAAGTAGAAACAGCTATTCTAAGAATATAAGCAGCTGGAGAAAATGCTTATTTCTTTCTCTTCTTTATCATGTGAACTTGCAATATAGGCTGGAGGACCTGTGGTTGAATGACAACCAAATACCATCTCTAGATGGGGTAGAGACTGCTTTGGCTGGTTCGCGGGAGAAGTTGACGACAATATATCTTGAACGAAATCCCTGTGTAAGTATTTCATAACTTGTATATATAATCCTTTATGTTTCCATATAGATGGGAAAAAGAGCCAAGATTCATATCATATGCGCTCAACATATTCGCAGTTTATTATGGTTAAGCTGTTGCCATCCATTGCAGTGTGCCTTGTTGCTAGAGTACATTTTTTTTTGTAAAAAAATAATGCTAGTTTGCTATTACAAGTTCCCTATTGTTGATGTTAATACTTGATAGTATCTCTATGTTTTTTTTTGCCAAAATTAAACTGTTTGCTGTGTATTGTAAAAAGTAACACTATTGATTACAGAAGTCTTGAGAAGTGTCTTCCAAACCTCAGTGGTACTGTGATTCCAAAGTGAAAAAAAAAATCTAACTATGAGTTATTACCTTTTGTTTTTGGCTATCTTGAGCTACAGATCTTTTTTTTTTTTTACTATGGCTAAGATAGCTAGTACAAACTCTGCTCTCAGTTTTTGAAAAAAAGAAACTCTGCTCAGAAACAGTTTGGAAAAAAAACTCTACACTGAATCAAGGTACTTATAAAGCTGGGACCTTAATGATTGTTGCTCCATTGATTGTGGGTGACTTTGGACCCTTGGACTCTTGCAGTATCTTTGCTATGTTACTTGAGATATTGACCCATTGTTAGTTTTGCATGGATCAAGTGCTACTCATTGTACCATTTATTTGATGTGTTATACAATTTTGAAATTTTTATCACTAGTTATTGAATGAAACAGGAAACAAACAATAAAGGTATTAGTTAGTGAGAAGGAAGTCACATGCACTGAAGTTCTCTTAGACCATGAAAATAATATCTGCTATCAGAGAAATCTGACAAAAAGTCTAATCTTGTTATGCTTGTACAATATTTTGTGTTCCAGGGACCGCTCTGATAGGACCCCTGTGGATTTTGTTTCCTCTTTCTGATGAGCTTACCCTTGTCTGTTTCCCCCTTTGTTGCAGGCAAAAACTCCAGATTACTCATCGACGTTGAAGAAAATATTTCCAAAACTCGAGCAAATCGATTCAGATATCATAGCATGAAAACTAGCTAATCATTGCACAGATACTAAGGCGAAGTAGGCTTGGGGTTTTCCGGGGAAGCCATTAGCAGCAATCAAGTTGTGAACGAATAATAGACATTATTTGATCATCAAGGTGTAGTAGGCATTGTGGTGCTAGTTGTTTAATGGTTGCACCTGTTTGTGGCCTACGATTTTTCATTGCCAACTCTGCTCTACGTTGAGAGGAAGACGTTGGTTAGGAGCCCCTATGAGCTGAATAGTGATTGGTAACCAAATAATCAACGGTAGATGTTTGAACATAAGAGGTGTAGCTGGATTGTCATCCGTGTTGCTACTTTTAAGATGTTGCATTTCCTTTCCCTGTAGATTAGTGTCGGTTTTTTAAAAATGAGGCTAGGAACAGCTAGCAGTACTTTTCTGTAAGTTATGAATGTAGACATCTGTGCATTGTATATCAAACTTGCAAGGTTTGAATGAACACATGAACCCGAAATTATCTTTTCTTTGAAATTTTATTTTAGTCAACCGAATTTCTGTGCATGAAACCTCGAATTACGAAAGTACACAGAAAGTCAGTTGGCAGTGCTAGCGCATGGACGTGTCCGAATGCTCGTGTTGCGCTTCCGTTTCCTGCGCTCGAGCCAACACGCCCCCGCCTGAGCCTGCATTTCGTGCGCCCATGTGGGGCCCGTGCTGCCAGACCACGTGCAGGGATCGCTCGTGCCCCCTCCGCTTCTTACGCGCATTACAACATGTGCAACAACCGATCTACTTTTGCAATATCCAGATGAAACACTTGCAACATACGTCCAAAATACCTGAAACACCTGCAACATACATCTGAAACATATGCAAAATACCATAAAAACTTGAAAACACGTGTGTAGAAATTACATCAAGATGAAACACTTGGAAGGGCAGGCCTAGTGCAGTGGTGAGAGCTGTCTCACTGAGTCACCAGGTCGCGGGTTCGAAGCAGCCTCTTCGTAGATTTTGTGGGGGAGGCTTGCCTCGGTTTTTCCCTTCCCCAGATCCCACTCATGTGGGAGCCTCCGGCACTAGGTGTAACACCCTCGTTGTTACACTGTACAACTTTTTACTAAAACACTGCATGGGCATCCTACTTATGTGTGAATGTATGAGTTATAGAGTGTAAAGCAATATACGGAACTTGAAACGTTCATCGGAAATACGAAACAAATGTTACATTTCATGTCGCGTTGTATCGCTTAGGGTTCTAAATGAATTTTTATTGAACAAAAATGCTATAGAATGCCTATACGAAACTTTAATAAAGTTGGGAGTACGAACTTCGTAGGTGGCGACGAAATACTTGCGGTCGGGAACGGAATTCGCTAGCTAGTGTATTGAATAGCTTAGAAATCAAATTCGACGCGAATCCGATCGTGATTTGGTTGAAATTCCTAAGTCGGAAAATGGTTCGACGAAGCTCAGTTTGGAAATTTTTATAGGAGAATCGAATTATGTGGTGGCATGATCTTAGGCTTTGTTTTAGTAGCCTGATATACCAGCTAGAGCGTAAAATAGGTGGTGTAGCTATTGGATCATCGGGTTAGCTTTTTGAGCAGCATTAAAATGCGTGCAAGGCACGTTCTCGGTCAGCTTCGGTGTCTGGGCGCGGTCACCGTGACTCCACCGGTGTCGCCGCTCGCCCAGGCGCGCCCACGCGCACCGCCGCTCAGGCCAGCACCGCCGTTGCCGCGCCTGTCACGCTACTCGCTCGCACACGCGCACGCTGGGCCCGACAAGCCTGGCTGCTTTGCCTCCGCCGTCGCGTCCGCCTGAGCCCCGCTGCTTGCCGTTGCGTCGAGCTGCACCCCGATCGCGCTACGCTCCGACCGTCGCTGCCGCGTAGCCACTGCTCCCGTTGACCCTTCGGCTGCACGCGCGTGGGCTTGCCCTGCCTGCATTCGCCTTCACGTCTGCGCGTGGTGCCACGCCACGTTTCCCGTCACGTCGCCGAGCCGCGCCAAGGCCTAACTGTAGAGCTGGCCCCCTATTGTAATTGCGCAAGTTTGGTGGTTGGCTTGGAGTCTCGCTTCGCACCAAGCTTGCCACTGCTGCTGCCGTACGACGTCTGTCCTCAATTTAAGTTTTCGCCCATCGCCGGCCGCCATAAGTCTGAACGGCGTCGTCCAAGCAATTGGCCTTGCGTAGTCCATCTCCTTCCAATTAACCAAGCACCCAACTAGCTCTGGTAGTTAGCTTGCGAGTGGAGTCAACCCGACAAGCTTTAATTGATCCATGGCAGGCCATCCTATATGCCCATAGTGCCTCATTTAGCGTCGAATGCCACTTCCTTGGTTGTTCCTCAATCTTTTTCTTGATCAGCTTAATCATAATCTGGTTGGACGCCTCTACTTGACCATTAACCTAGGCACAGTAAGGGGAGGAATTTAATAGCTTAATCCCCATATTGACAGCAAAATCCCTGAACTCTTCTGATGTGAACATTGTCCCTTGATCGGTAGTTATAGTTTGAGGAATCCCAAAACGATACACAATGTGTTCCCTGATAAAATCAATCATGTTCCTTGAGGTTACTGTTTTCAAAGGAATTGCCTCAACCCATTTAGTGAAGTAATCTGTTGCTACCAATATGAACTTATGTCCTTTGTTTCAAGGCGGAAAAATTTGGCCAATTAAATCAATTCCACATCCCCGAAACGCCCATGGTTTGATTATTGAATTCATGGCCGATGCAGGCGATCTCTGAACATTACCAAAACGTTGACAGTCCTGACACCCCTTGTAATATTCAAAACAATTTTCCAGTATCGTTAGCCATAAATATCCAGTTCTGCGAATAATCCATTTCATCTTATAAGCCGATTGATAAGCTCCACATATCCCTTCATGCACCTCACCCATCAACACCTTAGCTTCTTCTTGGTTCAAGACTGATCATCTAACAAAACATACTTAGCCGATTTATACCTTAGCCTCCTGGTAACCTTCCGAGACGGATCCCTAAGGTAATCGGCTATTTCAACTCTCCAATCGTCACTTGAGGTTTCACTACTCAAGACCTCTTGAAATACTCGATATCCTGATGCACTTTGAGCTAGACGGTTAGCTTCTTGGTTTTGTACTTTCGGAATATGTTGGAAAGAGATATGAAGAAATCCCTTGAGTAACTTTTGGCATTCATCGTAGTATCCTTTCAAAGTCTCTTCTTTACACCCATATAGGCTGATCAATTGATTAATAATTAACTATGAATCTCTAAATACTTTAATTGCTTCGACCTTTACTTCATGAAGAAGTTGAAGTCCCTTGAGAATAGCTTCGTACTCCGCTTGATTGTTAGTAACCATTGGCTCAGTTGGAAGAGCAAACTCAAAACTTGCCCCCCGAGGCGAAATAATAACAATACCAATGCCACCACCCTGCTTGCATGATGACCCATCAAAGAACAACGTCCAAGGCATCGGCTCTACATAACTAATGCTTGGCTTGTGATGCTGGGTGATAAAATCAGCCATTACTTGTCATTTGACTGCTTTAGCAGATTCGTACTTCAAGTCGAATTCTGATAACGCAAGAATCCACTTTCCCACTCTTCCATTCAGTATTGGCATGGATAACATGTGCTTAACCACATCAGCCTTGGAGACAACTGTACACTCGGCCGATAATAAGTAGTGTCGCAATTTAGTGCAAGAGAAATATAAGCACAAGCACAATTTTTTGGTAGGAGAATATCTCGTCTCTAGATCCAGTAGTCTTCTATTCAGATAAAAAACAACTCTCTCTTTTCCCTCAAATTCCTGCATTAGGGCCGATCCAATTATCTTGTCATCAGCCGATATGTACAACTTAAATGGTTTACCGTGCTGAGGAGGAACCAGCACAGGTGGACACTTCATATATTTCTTTATTTCCTCGAATGCCCTTTATTGTATGTCACCCCACTTGAATTCTTAATCATTTTTCAACTTCAACAAGGGAGAAAACGGCAGGATCCTTTCCGATAAATTTGAAATAAATCTTCTAATGAAATTAATCTTACCAAGCAGAGATTGCAACTCTGTTTTGGTAGTCGGGGGAATTGCTTCATCAATTGCTTTCGCGCTTTTCTAACCAACTTCGATTCCTCTCTCGTGAACCATGAATCCTAAAAATTGTCCGGCTGATACTCCAAAAAGCACACTTATTAGGATTCATCTTCAAACCATGCTTCCTCGTGCATTCCAGAGTCTCACGCAAGTCAGCTAGGTGTTCTTTGTACCCTTTGGATTTTATCATCATATCATCGATGTAGATCTCAACAATCCTGCAGATCAACTTATGGAAAATGTAATTCATCGCCCTTTGATAAGTTGCACCTACATTCTTCAGTCCAAAGGTCATCACAACCCACTCGAATAGACCGATTGCGCCGGGCACCTGAAAGCGGTCTTTGCTATGTCTTCTTCAGCCATGAAAATTTGGTTGTATCCTACATTACCGTCCATGAAGCTAATAACCTTGTGCCCGGCTGCTGCATCTACTAACATATCAGCTATCGGCATTGGATAACCGTCCATAGGTGTGGCTTTGTTCAGATCCCTGAAATCAATGCAAACTCTTAATTTTCCATTCTTCTTATATACAGGGACAACATTCGATATCCACTCTGCATATCGGCATGGTCGGATAAATTTTGCTTCCAGTAACCTTTCAGTCTCCTTTTTGATATCATCAAGCACATTCGGGTTGAATCTCCTCGGAGCTTGTTTAAACGGCCGATATTCAGGTTTGATTGGTAGCCGATGTTCAACAATTTACCGGTCTAAACCAGGCATCTCATAGTATTCCCAAGCAAAGCAATCTTTAAATTCCTTTAATAAGTCAATTAATTCCCGCTTATACTCTGGATCCAACTTAGCACTTACGTACGCCGGCCTAGGTCTATCTCTAGGACCAATATCTACTTCTTCTAATTCATCGGCCGACGTGAAGCCATGTCCTAGTTTCTCGTCTATACCATCTATTGGATTATCCATTAATACAAAT